ACAGCATAGGGAATATAGTCAATAATATTGTAATAACTATGTATAGTGCCAGGTGGGTACTAGAATTATTGAGGGGTCACTTTGTAAATTATATAATTGTCTAACCACTATGTGGCACACCTGAAACTAATATAAAGTAACATTGAACGTCAACTGTAATTGAAAAGTTGAAGAAAAATGTTGGGTTTGCCTGCAGTTCAGCATCCTGGCATCTCAGGTCCGCGGCAGCCTCCACCCCTTTGGTCACGTGGTTTTCAGTAGGAAGTCCCTTCACCTCCCCTCAGACTCCAGGGTCACTTCTGACCCTCAGATCCCCGACCCTCCAGCCCTCAGTGACCAATTCCCTTCGCAGGCAGCACGGGCAGATGGACTGTGGTTTCAGGGCTCTTTCAGTTGCAATATAGTGGGGAGTTGTCCCTGCCCAGCCATGGCCTGAGCCTCTTCCTAGTCTGGTCCCCACCAGCACTTCACACAGGGCTGGGCATCCGTATGAGGCCAATGAGCTCCTGTTCAGTGGGGTGGAGGGCAGATATTGTGCAGCGCCAGCCCAGTGGCTCATACAAGGCTGTGAGTCTTCGAGGTGCTGAAGGCTGTGAGCAGCTCCTGCTGTGAGGGGGGCTTCTTAGACCAGACGCTGAGAGTCAAAGGCTCACCGCTGGCCACCAACACTGGAGACACTGGTACCACTTTACAAGCACCATCTCATTGACTCTCTAAGCCTCAAAGCAAGTATGAGGTACAGGGCTTAGAATCCTGTTCTACCTGAATTGGTGCTTTTCCTCACTGAGGGAGCTGCTTCCCATTTCTCAGGGGCATCTTCTACCTCTAATCAGCCAGGTTCCTGGCCTCCAGCCTACCAACCTGCTCAGAGAGAGGGCCGGGCTGTGCTGGGAGAAAGCGAAGCTGGAGGGTTTCAGGCAGGAAGGGCCGGCCAGCAGGAGGGGCACCGAGCCCGCCCGGAGCCCAGGGGCTGGAGCTCTGGTCCTCAGTTCAAACTTCAGGGGAAGCTGAGGGCCAGAAGGCAATGACCCCTGTCCTGCACCCCCTGCCTCTACATGGTGGCACCCACAATGCTCTGTGTCCATCACATACTGATGCTCTCCTCTTGCTTCAGGTCATGCCCAGCTCTTGCAGCACCTGCCCCCTTATGACTGTCCTTCCAATCCTGGTGGCCCAGCACCCTGCTCCTTGTTCATGCAAAGGGAAGCTGAGGGCCAGAAGGCAATGACCCCTGTCCTGCACCCCCTTCCTCTACATGGTGGCACCCACAATGCTCTGTGTCCATCACATACTGATGCTCTCCTCTTGCTTCAGGTCATGCCCAGCTCTTGCAGCACCTGCCCCCTTATGACTGTCCTTCCAATCCTGGTGTCCCAGTACCCTGCTCCTTGTTCATGCAAACCTCCACCCCACCCCACCCCACCACACACACACACACACACACACACACACACACACCCTGTGAATTCGGAGAACCACAGAGCTGGCATGGCCTTCAAAGACCAGTGAAGGCCCTAACAGCACAGAAGGAGAAACTGCCACAGGTCCTGGCCCATTGGGCGGTGCTCTGCTCAAGGCCAGCATGGGACGGCCTGCCCTGCTGCCCTGCCCGGCTCTCAGATGTGGAGCCCTCTGCCGCCCGTGTGCAGCCATCTGCGGACACAGGCCCGGCCCTTTCCACGGGTCCCCATAAATCATCCTGCCACGGGCTGCTGCTTCTCTAAACTTCCTCCCGTGTGTTTACATCTCGGGTAATGAGGGGCAGGAGGAGGCCAGCCTGTTCCAGGTGGTATCCTGCCCGGGCGCTCACAGCCCCTACCCCGGCTCCTGCCCTCCTCTCCCTCAACACACCCTCAGCGAGGCCTCCGGGGACCCACAGAGTCCAACCCAGATCTGGCCCCCCGGGGCTCCCAGCCTAGAAACATAATCCAGAAATTGCAGTCTGTGCGACTACTTGAGGACCGGACACCCACAGGCGCTGCAGAAACGCCGGGGAGGGGGCAGCACGGGAAGCTGGGGCAGGAAGGGAGACTTCGGTGAGGATGGGGAGACGCTCGCCAGGTGAGGGTGGCAGGGGCGTCTTCATGGTGGGTGAATGACTGTGACCCTTAGCATTAGACAGACCCGCGTGTGGGTTCTGACCCCACACCTGACTTGCTGGGTGGTCTTGGGCAAGTTACCTGACCTCGCTGAGCCTCAGTTTTCTTATTCGTCAAACAAGGGCTCCTGATAGGACTGAGGGACATGGTGAATGTAAGTGCCTGGCACAGAGCAGGAGCTCACAAATGTCCACTGGCACCCACCCCAGCTGAGAGAGAGGCAAGTACAAAGGCGGGGCTGGGGGCTTGCCACAGTCTATTGAGAGGCAACCCAAAGCCTGGCAAGGACAGGACCTTCTATCCCTTGGGAGGAGGGGCAGTGGGTAAGCAGGAAAGGGGTGACAGGCACTGCATCTGGGCAGAATTGTAGGAAGTTAACCTGGTGGTGGTGGGAGCTACAAGGAATCTGAAGCTGAGGAGCAGCGATGTGCTAGGACCAGGAGGCCTGTTAGGACCCTGCTGCAGGATCCCTGGTGGAAGGTGAGCTGGAGAGAGGGGACAGAGAGGAGGGGATGGAGAGGAGGGGGTGGAGCGGAGAGGGTGGATGGGAAGTGGTAGAGTGGAGAGGTGAAGAGGAGGGGGTGGAGGGGAGGGAATAGAAAGGAGGAGATGAAGAGGAGGGGATGGGAGGAGGTGATGGAGAGGAGGGGATGGGGAGGAAGAGGTGGAGGGGGGGGGATGGGGAGGAGGGGGGGGAGGAGAGGGAATAGAAAGGCAGGGATGGGGAGGAGCGGATGGAAAGGAGGGGATGGGAGGAGGGGATAGGGAGGAGGGGATGACAGGAGAGGACGGGGAGAAGGGGATGGCTCTAGTGGGATTTTGGGGGAAGAAAATGAGAAAACTGAATGGAATTAAAGCCCCGAAGAAAATAATTCGGTTAGAAGGACTATAAATGGGCCCTAGTCTCCCCAGAGAGCTCTCCTCAGCCCCCTCTTGGAGAACTGGGGAACCTGAAGAGGACAGAGTGAGACCGGAGAGCCACAGAAGCTGTGCCTGCCCCAGGCCGCCCTGGAGCCCAGGCCTGCTCCCTAAGAAGCAGGGAAACTTTCAACAAACAGGCTGCCTGTCGGCGAAACTTCCTTCTCCAACCCAACCAGATGGGAGAAAGTTACCCAACCGTAGTTTCCCTGTTGGGACCAGGAAGGCTCCCTCTTTCCAAAGAAAAGCTGTTTTCTTCTCCTGAAACCAGGCTCTGTGTTTCAGAGCTACGTGCTGTGAAAAGGAAACTGTTTTGGAGTCATTTGCCCAAATTTACCTTTCAGACACGGTTAGGGGCTGGGGTCTCATGCTGGAGCTGACTGCCCAGCCTCCTGTCACCTTGTGGGCTGGACCTGCCACTAGCCGGGCCTCCTGGTCATGGGCAGGTTGATCAGGACTGAGGGACCCCCTGGATCATAGCACTTTAGGGGCTGCCGGGCCTCAGCCTGTGGCCCTCCCCAGGCTGCAGAAGTAGCTCAGCATCCCTATGCCCTCGCTCCAGGTCTGAAGGGGGCGGCCGTGCAGGGCCCATGCTGGGCACGTGAGCCGAATGGGTGGCAGCCAATACAGCTGCAGCAGCGCCTCTGCCCAGGCAGGCCGGGCTGGCGAGGGCTCTGCAGAGTACATTTCCCAGGAACCCAAGTCAGGCGCTTGAAGCCAACGCACAGCCGAAGGAACAATGGGCTCGACTCTTGTTTGCTGGAAGTCTCTTCAAGATCGTGCACACCCCGCACTTTAAGAGAGTGGACTGGACTATGTCAACTGCATGTCGATGACTCAGACCTGGCTGCGGGAAGATCATGCCTGAATTGCGCAGCAGGCAGCTCCTGATTTCTGGGTGACCCCGACAAGCCCCCCGCCCCCGGCCTTGGTTCAACATCTGTAAATGCAGAGTTGGGTCTGCATTTTCCAAAGCGGCTCGGAAGAATCTCCAGTGCACATTCAACGCGCGGCTCTCCAGGCCCCTGCACGTGCTGACACAGGGGGTCTGCAGTGGGACCTGGGAATTTGTTTGACAAGGGCCCAGGGTGATGCTTTCTGGGGACTCTGAGGAGGTCCACATGGAGACCCCTAGTCTCCAAGGGCCCACTGCGGGGGCACGATGCCCAGGGCACGGCTCCCACAGAAGGTCTCCCTCTGCCTCTCACTGATGGTCACTCCCTGGGACATCCCGGGTGCCCTGGGGACACTGTTCACCATATATGAAGATTCTTGCCCCAAAGTGGAATCTGGGGAGACTGCGCTGTACCGAGCCTGCAGGAGGAGGAGGGAAGACAGAAGGGGCTTCGGTGACAGCCAGGCAGATGTGGTGCAGGGTGGGGGGAGGGGCAGACAGGCAGAGGACAGGGAGGTATCAGTACAGTAGGGGGATTTCTGCACCTGCCCATTTTTAACAAGGTTTATCACGAGCTCCCCATCCCCTGCTGAGACGGAGTCCGCAGCCTCAGGGTGCCAGCCATCCCCTGCCACCTGTCTCTTGCAGCCTCCCTGCCACTGAGCCCTCCGGACACAGGGAGCTCACGGCCTTTGCTGTAGCCAGCCTGTTCCATTTTCTCTTGGTTCCAATGGAGCCCGCTCTGCACCCCAGGTGCACCCCAGGCAATCAAGGGCAAAGCAGACGTTTGCCCATGGCACTTGAAGGAAGCTTCTAGTCCCTCACCTTTAAAATGAAGAATATTATACTTGCTCTCCTTCTGAGAATAAAAATGAAAAGTGAGATATGAGTGTGCTCGATAAGCCTGAAAGATGAACAGGAGGGTCCTTTGGGAATGGGGACAAGCCAGCCCTAAGGTTTCTGCTGGGCACGCCCCCGCCAGGCTTCCCAAGCAGGGCTTGTGGATGATGGTGTGCCTGGCTCCAAGCGGCCGGAGGCTGCCCGGAGAGATGGCCAGCTCCCAGCAGACCTGCCCCTCCCCAGCTCACCTGTCCTCGATGCGGACCCAGAGGTCATTGAACTGCCTCGGCCGCTGCTGTTTATTCTGCCTCTTGTGCCACTTGTTCTGCCGCCCAAACTCCTCCAGCTGGCTGAGGCTGTCGGGGAGCAGGAGGTGTGGGGATAGGGCTGGGTCCTCCTCCTCAGGCGGGGCGGTGGGGGTCACCGAGGGTGCTGCGGGGACGGCAGCAGGCGGGGTCACGGGGGCCGGGCTCGCTGAGGTCCTCTCGGATGGGGGTGCAGGGCTCCTGGCGGCAGAGCTGGAAAGGGCGACAGCTCATGAAGCTCACATGTTGCAGCGTGTCATTCACGTGTGACAGGGGATGCAAATGAATGGGAGAGCTGTTGTGGCAAGAGAAGATGCTAGCGTGCCCGTCCTGGGCCTGGTGAGGATAACCCAGGACAACCAGTGTCTGGGGCTGAGAGACGGAGCTTTGACTCATTCTTTCATTTAGTGATTTAATATACATTGCACTTTTGTAGGAATTGGGCAGAAGCACATGAGCCTGGCTGTAGGGGGCGCGAACGCATCCACCTGGGTGTGTGTGATTCACATTCCCTACAGAGGTGCACACAGACACCCCTTAGCCTGGGCACATCCTCTGCACCTCTGCTTTTATTCTCCCCTGTCTGTGGCCCAAAGAGAATTCCAAGGGGCCACCTGTCTCTGGGAGAAGGTTGGCCACGGTCTCGGGAACTGCAAAAGTTAGGTGGCACCCAGGGCGGTGAGCAGCCTGTACCCTCACTGCACTCCCGTGTGCACAATGGGTGAGGGAGAGAAGGCCATCAGCTCAGTCTGTCCACCCCCAGCCCCCACAGCAACTCCAGATTCCCAGGGTCCAGGAGATGCCGCAGATGCTGGGGAGATAATTCAAAACAGGCAGACAAAAGGATGGATCCAGGAAGCACCTGTGGCCGAAGATGGCTTTTATTGTCGGGGCCTCCACAGCAGCCCTGCTCCTTCACCTCCCCGCCCCCCCCCGTCCCCCCCACAGGATTTCAGTCTGCACTCAGAGACCCAGGCTGGGAGCCCTAGGAGCTGGGTCTGGGGTGGGGAGTGGGAGTGGGGAGGGGTGGGATTTCAGTCTGCACTCAGAGACCCAGGCTGAGGGTCCTAGGAGCTGGGTCTGGGGTGGAGAGTGGGAGTGGGGAGGGGAGAAGGGGACCCTCCTCTAATGCCTGGGATCTAGATGAATAGGAGCCGAGGCAGCCTCTCCAGCCTGGCCCCTCCTCCACCCATCCCTACCCTGACCTCAGATACAATGAGCTTCAAGGGGAAGGGGGAGCTTGAAGAATACTTTGTCCCCAAGACTCCCTTGTCCTTGCCCCTCAAACACAGGCCGGCCCAGGCCTAGGACCATCTGGCTGTATTGTGCTTAACTGTTCAGGAAGAACAGTCTTGTCAGCCTGGCTCAGAAGATGAGAAGAGGAAGGAGCCCAGAAAGTGTGTAGTCCACCTTAACCCCCAGGTCGGACACAGGGGATGGTTAGGAGCTTAGGGAGGCCCTAGACTGCCATTTACAGGAGCTGTGTGCCCTTCTGCAGGTGACTTCACCTCTCTGGGCCTCAGGTTCCTCAATTTTAAGATGAGGATACTCGTAGTTCCTACCACACATGACTGTCATGAGGATTCCGTGAGTTAGAAGTGCTTAGAGCCTGGTACACAGTGAGCTCCTACAAATATTAACTATGACTGTTCAGGCTTCTTTCAGACTCTGGGTCTTGTAACGTCACGGACAAGGGCCCAAACCACACTATGGTTACCCTTGTGGGCTGGTGAGGAGGGTTCTTTCATGAAGGTTGGGCGGAGCATGGGCTGCATGGGACCCCTGAGTTCGAGGATCCTGTGATTGACCCTGGAGCTGCCCAGCATGCAGACACCTATGTGGTTCCATGCCTGGTGCTGGCACTAGGGGCCACACAGGGACCCAGCTGACGCCTGCCTTCGGGCAGCTCCTGGGAGGGACCCCCGACAGGAAGAGAGGATGCCATTATGTGGCTCTGTGAGTGGAGTGGTGTGCTCTAGCAGGACAGTCGAGGCGATGGGCACGGCCAAGAGGCAGCCCTGGGAAAAGTATGGCTGGGACACAGGAAAGAGGCTAAGCCACTGCTCACCCTGACCGTGGCCCCATCTCAGTTCAGAGCCCCAGCATCCCCCAAGTCCTCTAGGCAGCCACCCAGGCATCTGACAGAGCCCTTCCGTCCCACCTGATCACCAGTCTCCAAATCCTGAACAACTCTCAAAATTTAACCCTCCTCCCATTCCCACCACCTCTGCCAGGCCCGCCACTCTTCCCTCCAGCCAAGGCTGTGCTCCAGCCTCCTGTCCCGTCTCCCCACCTCCAGCCTAGCTTCTCCTCTCTCAGGTGCCTGGTCAAGGCCAGTGCCTACAAGGCCCCATCTCACCGGAGGCTTCTTCACAACCCTCACCCAGGCCTGAGCAGGGAGGCAGGGAGCAGTCCGCATGCAGCCCACCGTCAGTCCTGGCCCATGGACCACCAGCAGCAGGCCAGCCAGCCCCACGGTGCAGATATCCCGCTGCTCACCTGTGGATGGTCTGCCCTGCGGGTGTGTGCTCCACCTCCAGCCCCGCCTGTCGGAGGACGTCAATGACTGTGTTGTTCCCCAGAAAGTGACCTGGAACACAAGAGACAAGTGGCTCAGCTGTATGCCAAGACACCAGTGACTTACACCGAAGCTGAGGCCCAGAGCAGTACGGCATGTTGGGAAGAGGTCCTGGTGCCACCCTGCCTGGGTCCAAATCCTGGCTCTGGTTGTACCTTCCTGTGCCTCAGTCCCCGCCTCTGTAAAGTGGGCATGATTGTGATAGCAACCTCCAGAGTGGCTGTGAGGACCGCAGGAACAGTGCTGGCATGCAGTGAAGGCTCAGTGTGTCCCGTGGCATCGCTGTGCCTCATACCATGAAGCTGACCCAGCCCGGACTGTGCAGGTAGGGGCAGCCTACAGCACTCCATTGGTGGTGGCGGGGGGTACATTTATGAGGCACTTGCTCTGAGGGCAGCCTGTGCTAGACGCTGAGAAGACAGGTCTAAATCACACAACCCACAGCCCGGCTGAGCCGGCACCACCTTCCTTCGGTGGGACGCAGGCCTGAGGTCTGCGAACACAGTGAGGTTCCAGTTAGGAAGGTTAGAGAGGACTCTCGGGAGGCCGAGGGACTGTGGAGACAGTGGCTGCTGGAAGTTTGCACCCTGTTGAGCCCCTCTTGCTCCCTGGGCTTCAGTCTCCCCAACCTGGTCAGTGTGGGCAGAGTGGTGGTGGCCCCTGGCACCCCCACCTATGTGCCCACAGGCAGCTCCCTTCTGCTCGCCATTCATCCCGGAACCTGGGGGAAATCCCTGCACGGTTACGGTAATTGCCTGTGACGGGTGGTGACAGGTGGGAAGCCGGAAGGTCAGCATGTTGACAGCCCCAGGGAGGGCTGAGCACAGAGGGTGGACAGGCTGTTGGGGAAAGGAGAGACTCCAGCACAGAGGAAGCCAGGCTGGGGCTGCACCGTGGCTGGAGTAGAGGGTGAGTGAGCCCGTAGTCCTTCACCGGCTGGCCTTACACTCGCCAGCAATTTCCCTACCCAGCACTCTCTCTTGCCAGCCTGCCACAGTCCCTGAAACCCACCTCTGGACCACCGCCCAAGATCACTGGGCTGGGACCCCCTACACTCACCCCGAGATCTTGAGCAAACCCATGAGGCTGGGATGCCCCCTTTCTCTCCATGTACAGGGAGTGGGCTGCATAATATCTATGGCCTCCCCAGCTCTCAGATTCCGTGAGGAAGGCTTTGACTCCAGAGACCTTTATGAAAATGTGTTTTCCCTCCCTCGTTCCCTTTTTCCTCCCTTTCTCCATCCATCCAGCTGACAAACCCGGAGCAAAGCATACCTAGAGCTGGACAGTGTGCACAGGTAGGGGCCTGTTCCCGGCACCCATAGTCTCAAGAATGAGGCTCTTTCGATCCAGGCACCAACACTATGCTGAAGGAAGCTCACAGGAGGCATCTGATCTAACCTGGGATCAGGGCAGACTTCCTGGAGGTGGCATTGCTGGCTGAAGGATGGGATAAGAGTTAGCTAGGTGAGGATGGGAGTGGGTGGCACCAAAGAGAGGCTGTCCAGGTAGGGGGAATGGCATGTGCACAGACAAGGTGGTAAGTGAGGCACTTCTGGGGAGCCAGCTGCAGAAGATACACGGACAAAGCAGGTACGACAGGCCCTCCCAGGCTCCGGTCCCAACCCAGTGCTGTTGAGGACAGAGGACCCAGGTTCCTGCTAAGCCTGCGAGTCTCCACTCTAATCCTGAGCAAGTGGCTTCTCTGTGCCCAGCCTGTCTTCCTGAGTGTCACACAGGCACGTCTCCCTCTGGGCACAGCTTCCTCTGGCCACCTGGGCAGCTCTAAAGCCCGAATGAGGCAGAGGAGGGAATGTCCTTCTGAGGAGCCCAGAGTGTACTCCCAGTGGATGGGCTGGGCTGGGCCCTGGCTGAGGCCACAGACTCATCCCCACTCTTGCTTGTCCCTCAGGTGTGCAGCCTCTGGGGCATCGGCTGCAGGAACTCCTTGCCAGCAGCTTTTGGAATCCACACTTGGCAGCAAAGCCAATCCCTTCCCGGCCTCCATGGAGACCCGTTTGAAGACCAGGCTTCTAGGCCCAACAGTGGTCCACCCAGAGGATTTCAGCGCCGCCAGGGAAAACAGCCGCCTCAGGCTGCACAGGGGCAGCCGTGAGTCTTCACTGAGGGCCTTGCGGCTGCTCCTGAAGCAGCATCCCTGGGGCTGGCGCAGGGGCACTAGCAGGGGCCAGGCCTTACAGGATGCCCGCCGGACTCAGGGCATTTCTGGTAACTTTTCAGCGTCCAGTCAGTGTGTCTATTCCCTCCACTGCAGCGGTTTCAGGCCCTAGTTATGCAGCTTAAGACCCCAAATAGAAGACTTTAGATACTTGGAGAAGTTGGAAGCAATCAGAACAGATGTTTTCAAATTGCCATGCCCTCCTTCTGTATGCCACCTTCACCCTCACCTCCTCCCTATTGTCCCTCCCCTGCACGAGGCTGCTCCTTTTTATTTAAAAATATTTTTATTGATTTCAGAGAGGAAGGGAGAGGGAAAGAGAGAAACATCAAGAATCATTGATCGGCTACCTCCTGCATGCTCCACACTGGGGATCGAGGTCACAACCCAGGCATGTGCCCTGACCTGGAATCGAACCCTGACCTCCTGGATCACAGGTTGATGCTCAACCACTGAGCCATGCTGGCTGGGCATGAGGCTGCTCCTGCCCAGCTCAGGAGGTGCCCTTCCCATGCAGGCTGTGCCCCAGGACCACACCATGCACTCCCGCCACCCCATCCCACCCCCTCTTTGGGACTTGGTTTCACAGGACCACACGACTCCGTTCCGCCCTGGTCCATGCTCCTCTCACTGCTCCCTGTCTGTCCTCTTAGTGGGGGTCCTCTTCCTCCTGCCCAATATATGTGGGGACCCTCGGAACCCTGTCCATGGCCCTCTTTTCTTTTCACTCTACCACAGTTTGCGGACAAATCATCCACCATATGGTTTCAGTTACCAGGCAGCGCTGACCTCTGGAACTGCAGCCCCCGCTCAGACCCATCTGTCCAATGGCCTGCTGGAATCTGCACCTAACCTCCCCCAGAGCCAGCACACTCAGATGGGCCCTGGCTTGACTCCTTTCTCTTCCTCCCCATCCCCATCCATTCAGTCATCAGAATCCCCCTGATTTTACCGCCTACCCATGCTGGACTGAAATCACTGCCCACACCACCTGCCCTTGTCCCTGCCAGGCCACCATCCTCGCTGCAGCTGGGATGCTCTTCCCATACCCAGAGCTGCCTCTGTCAGAGCATGTTCCCAACAGGCTGCTGGATGGGAGACTGTGCAAGGACAGGGGACACACCTGATTCATCTTTGACCCAGGGCTGAGCCCAAGTCTGGCCCACAGTGGCGGCTTCATGATTGTTGAATGAATGAGTGACAAAAACTGCTACTCCATATCCTTTCCATGATCTCATCCAATCCCCAGGAGGCCTGAGCTCATGCTCCCCTCCGCTTGTAGCCTGGGCCGGCCCTTTGGTGTTGTTCATGCAGATTCCACCAATCCCAAGAGCTTGGCTCCTGAACCTGCCTCTGAGTCAGGGCCCAGTGCATGTTGTCCCCAGGGGCTGGCAGACAGGGCCTAGGCTTGCCTCCAAGACCAGAAGTCCTGAGACCGGCGCCACACCCACCCTGGAACCTGCGGGAAGGTGTGGACAGTTTCCAAAGGGGCCCCCGGTGTTGGGGGTTAGCCTGCATGGCTTGCCCAGGCTCCCGGGTCTCCTGGCCACCGCTCAGCAGCTCCTGCCAGCACTGACAGCTGTGCTCTGGCCAGCTCTCTGCAGGAAGGCACGTTCCATTTCATCTGCAGAGGCCACGTGAATGAGGAAAGGAGGGGAGAGAAGGAGGACAGTGGGGGATGGGGCCCACAGAGCCACAGACAGTGGGGGAGACACACAGAGAGGCAGGGAGGGGACAGAGATACTCACAGGGACACAAGTAGCTCCAGGACGGAAAAGACAGTGGAGAGGAGGAGAGGGGGGCCCAGGCCCAGGCAATGAGAGACATACAGCGACACAGACAATGGTGGGAGAGAAGGCAAAGGAAAGACACCTAGACAGAGAGTAAAAGATAGAAAGAGGCAAGGATGGGGAAGTCAGAGACAGAGAAAAAGGCTGAAAGAGGAAAGAGGAGAGAAGAGAAAGAGAACCCCGAAACGGAAACAAGGAGCATGGTGGAGGAGAGACTAATCCACTGAGGACATCAGGGATGGCTTCCTGGAGGAGGAGCCCAGGTAGCCAGGACTCCCAGGATGGGATTCAGAGATGCAAGGAACAAAGGCCTGGAGGAAGATTAAAGGTCTTGAGAAGGTGGGGCTGCTTTGGTGTTGCCTTACTGACCCTGCAAGCCAGACTGCCACGTAAAGGGCATTTGTATACAAACGGGAAGGTGTCCTACTCTGAGCGGGCACAGTCCCACCATGTTTTAGCGCAGAGAAAAGGGCTCCTCTTTTCCCGGGCCCAGCAGGCCTGTGCCAGAGCATGAGGCTCAGTGAGCAGAGCACAGGCTGGGCACCGCCCAACAGCCCCAATTTACCCTCCAACACAGAAAGACAGGGTGGGGCAGAGAGAAGAATCCTATTGCTGGGTTAGGACAGAAAACCTGGCTCAAGAGCCATCTGGTTGTGTGACCCTGGGGCAGCTTCATTGTCTATGTGTCTCCATTTCCCCAAATGGTCCAGAGGTCCTCCCACCTCTATGATTTCATCATCTGATGACCTGAACACAAACTACTACTTCCTGCTTCCTCTCCACCCTGTGATCGCCTCAGAGTGGGGACATGTATCTCAGGTCCTGGCACAAGACTGAGTGCAGGAGGTGTCCTCTTGGTCCAAGCCCACACCCTGCCCTGGGCTGGCCCAGAGAAGGAGCAAGGAAGCTCTGCTAGGTGAGAAGCCCCCTCGGGCCCCCCAGTTGCCCGTCCTTCCCCTGGTCCCCCCTGGGTACACGAGGCTTTTCCAACATTGTTTCATTTCGTCCTCACGGCAGCCTTCGAGGTCCCCCAGTGTATGAGG